TGGAACACTAGCATTGCTACAGAGTAACAGGGCAGGGCTGGGCTGGGAAGATCCGATGCCCAGCACAGTTAGGCAATCACATCAAGCCAAACATGACATCAGGCCAGTGTTATACAAGAAAAAGAAGGAAAAAAAGATTTCATACTAAAAGACCCGGGCTTGACAGTGGGGAGGGAGAGGAAAGAAGGCAGGTGCCTTATGTGCCACAGAGTAAAACCGCCTGCTTTTGCACCGCCGTGAGTCTGTCAGTCTGGCCTACTGTGGAGGCTTGTGTGTTGCTGAGATGCTGGAAATACTGGTATTTCAAATGCCAGCAGGGTCACCCAAAGTGCGCAGGTTTCTGATACTACAAAGAAGGAATAGGCTGGGACTAACTGCTCAGCCTCCACTGCCCTTTGGACACATCACAAGCCCCCATGTGCTCCATGGGACGCCGCCTCCCTCACCTTGTGAGTGCTGACGCCCTTAGGAGACCCACCTGGAACCCAGGGGGTCTTCGGAGGGGCGGCCAGCCCTGGGCTACATCCTGGCTCTCGTGCCCTGGGCACTAATGGGATTGGAGAGGAGAGGTCCGCCTGAGCCCTGGCCTGCCTGGTAGCTGACCCCTGGGCATGGTAATGCCCCGCCCTTCATCCAGGCCCCGCCCCACCCTCCCGGCCCCGCCTCGTGGTCAGCCCCCACCCTATTCACTATGCTCCGCCCCACCGGCCCGCCCTCACCTGCGTAGCTTCTCCGTGACCTTCTCCAGCTCCTCCTGCGCACGGCGCAGCTCGATCTCCAGGTAGTGGCGCGTGGAGTCGAACTCGGTCTCCAGCTTCTCCAGCTTGTGCGTGGTGTAGGACAGCCGCTTGCGCAGCTCGCCCTTCTGCTCCTGCAGCGCGCTGCAACGACACGCGGTGGGGCCCGGCCGCCACGCTGAGCGGGGAAACTGAGGCCCGCGGGCCAGCTGGGCGCGTAGCACAGACACGTCCCTCTCCAGGAGCCACCGGAGGCGCCTCGCCGGGGTCGGGCTCTCAGACCCGGAGTCGTTCAGAGCAACCACACCCCACCCCAAGCAGTGGCCGCTGGCCTGGTCAGAAGGCAGGCCAGCTGCGGGCTCATGGGAGGTCCGGCCAGCCCCCACTGGAGAACCGGCCAAGTCCAAATCAGCCCGCTGTCATTCCAGCCGATTCCAACTCCTAGCGGCCCAGACAGAGGTACTACAAGACTGCAGCTCTGTGGGAGCAGGCAGCCTCGTCTTTCTCTCTCAGGGCAGCTGCTGGGTGTGAACTGCCAACTTTGTGGTGAGCAGCCCTGGCTTCCTGGACAGAGTTCCAGAAGCCTGGTGAGTGTGTTTGGGGGATACGCAGAGCTGCTCCCCCTCCTGGGTGACTTCAGATAGCATTTAACACAGGACAGGTGCCACCGGGCTCTCTGCCACAGCCAGGGAAGGGCGGTGAGGCACAGAGTGGGCAGTGCCACCTCAGGACTAGGCCTCTCCTCCCCAAATGGCCAAGTGGCTGGAGACCACCAGAGGGCAATAGGCTGCCCACTGCAAGAACTGGGCTGCTTGTTCCAGGGGAGCTGGGCCTAGGTGGCCACCTCTTAAGGCTCCGCTTCTTCCCACCAACTAGGGACGCCTCAAGGCCCCGGGGCCCTGGGCCCTGCATGTTTGCTCAGAATGAGACCCCGCTGAAGTCTGGCTGCCAGGGGGGTGCAGGAGAAGCCGCATTTCCCAGCCACTCAAGATCCACTCGTTGGAAGTTTTGCCCAGGTCAGGAGGGGAGGTCACCTTTCTGCCCACCTAGGTCCAGAGCACCACATGTACTCAGTAATACCAGCTGACCTGAGCGTGGGTCCCACCCCATGTGGGGTCTGCTTGCAGCTTTGGCCTTAGCCCAGGCGTGTCCCCAAAGACGCAGTTCTGGGCCCAGGGGGTGCCTTCTGCCCTTCACATTCCACTCTAAGTGATGTTACCGTACTGAGTCTTCCCAGCAGCCCCTCGTGAGGTGGATGGGATTTTTATACCCATTTTACAGTTGGGGACACTTAGGCTTAGAGAGGTCACATATTTGCCCAAGGTCATGTGTCTAAATCGGTCTGTCTCTGACACCCAGAGCCAGTGGGTAGGAGGGAGGAGCTGTGAGGTGGAGGCCAGGGGCCAGGTGAGCACCCTGGAAGGGGCAGAGAGCTGACAGTGGCTGGGGGCGGGAACAGGTGGTGTATGTGTGTGTGCGTATGTGTGTGTGTGTGTGTGTGTGTGCACCAGGAGTTCTGCTGGCCCAGGGGACAAGCCGAGTGAAAACTCAAGCTGCTCTGTGGTCACTTGACCCCACCGACCAGATGCCAGAGCCCAGACTTTGTCCTCTCTCCTACTGCCACAGTGGCGCAGGCAGTGCCCTTAGTGGGGGTGTGGGGGTGGATGTGGGGGTTCTGTGGGCACCCAGCCCTGCTGCCGGTCCTGGTCTCATGCCCCAAGCTGGCCACTGTCCCCGAGTCTCGGCTGCGCCTGGCGAGGGGAGCTGGATACCCGTTTTGCAGAGGCCATAGTGTTTCAAGTGCAAGGTAAGTGGGCTTGGGCTGGACACAATGCCGGCACTGCCTTGCCCGGGGCACAGTGCCCAGCCAGGGCCAGCTGGCAGTCGCCAGGGTCCCCGGAGGAGAGCAGGGTGTCTTGCGTACAGGTGAGCAGGCTGACCTGTACGCAAGACACCCTGGCCCTGATAGAATCCCACCTGGGAGCTGTCCAGCCGAGCGGACGCCTGCGCTTACTGCCCACACCGGGCCACTCCCCACCCCTCGCCTTGGGGCCAACAGGAGGCGGGTCGTGTTGGAACTGGGTGCCTGGCTCTGCCTAAGTGCTGGGTTCTAGGGCCAGGGCCCGCCCCCTCAGTCTGCTGGACCCCAGACCTGCCAGAGGGTGGTGGTGGTGGTGGCCCTCAGGGACCTGGTCAGCAGGGAAAGGGCTGAAGGTGTTTTGCCTCTGGCTCCGTGAAGAGACCACGTGGTCACCGCAGTGTGCACCCAGCAAACCCTCAGGACACACCCTTGGCCTCCTGCCCAGGCCCACGTTTAAGAAAACAAACAAAAAGTAAAAGAGCTGCGGAGTGTCCGAGATTCCCAGGAAGGGCAGGCGGTGCACCAGGATGCCACAAGGCCCAGAGGCAGAGTGCCGGAGGCCCGCGGAGCTGCCCGCCTGGAGCCTCTCCAGGCTGCACCCTGCCTCCTCCAGGCAGCCTTCCCTGACGGACCTCAGGCTGCTCAAACCCCACCTTGCCCACCAGGCCAGCTGGGACACACACCACAGTCCCACAGCGGGAGAGCCAGGGACCACGGAGGGACACTCTATGGCAGAGCTGCTGGATGGCCCTGGCTAGGGTGTCCTGAGGTCCTGGAGAGCCTCATGATCGCCACAGTGGGCGCTTGTCCACACAATGCATGCCACTGGGTCAGTGCAGGGACACCATACAGACGGGCCACCAAGTCAAGGGACAGACAGACAATGCAGTGTGCAGGGCGCCCCGGTGACTGGATGGGCCACCTCTCCTGCCCACTCTGGGCCCACCTCTCAGGCAGGCACACCTAATTACAGAGGTTGTGCAGGCAGCATGAGGCCACTCCCATCCTGCCCTCTTCACCCAGCATACCACCCCAGCCAGAACAGAGCCCCCTTCTGGGCCTTGAACTGAGCACCTTGCCCACCCCACCCTCGGCTCACTGCATCCCCATCCAGGAGGCACCCCCAGGCTCCCTAGGCCCCACCCCTCACAGTTCAGACCTGTCCTGTCATGCCTTAAAAAGAGACCCCTCTCCTGGTCCTATTACCCTGTCCCTCAGCTGCCTGCCCCACCCTGTGCCCATCGCCCACTGAGATGCTGTGGGGGCTGTCGAGGGGCAGGGCCAGACTGCCTGGGAGTGGGGACCCCTGGCAGAGACTTCCCTTGTCACAGTCAGCCTCATTTGAGCCTCAGTGACTCCTGGCCCCCAAGATGGCCTTCTGGACCCTGATCAACAGTCCCCCAGCCTCTGTCCTCCTGGCCTGCCAGCTCGTCACCAGGTGCCTGGCCGTGTCTGCCTCCCACCTCTCTCTGCTCAGACGAGGCCACTTCTCATCCTCATCCCCCACCTCAGGTCTGTCCAGAGAGGACCCCACCCCAAGTCTGCAGTCACCAGGGTGGCCTCGCCATCCTGCCCTGGCCCCACGCCTTGTCTACCTCAGCCTGTGCTCCCCAACTGGGAAGCAGGGGTGAATGCACCCACCCAAGGACCAGGGCTGGCCCTCCGGCCCTCCCCCCTGCGTTTGGTATCAAACAGGGTTGGCAAACTGGCTTTGGAGCCGTATGCAGCTCTTTGAGAACGTCCTGTCGCTCTGACGTTTATTGTATATAAAACTTCACAGGATGTTCTTCGGGTCACGATGATTTCATTTGTTTGTAGAAATATGCTCATGGATCTTGAATAATTTTCAGATTGCTGTGAGGGGCAGCATGGGCTCTTCCGCCTCAACCGTTTGCCGACCCCTGACCCAGAATCGCCTAGAAAAAGAGGGGTCGCTCGAAATCGGGGGAGACACAGCACAGCTCAGAAGCTGGGGCAGATGTGCCCAGAGAGAGCGAGCCCTTCAAAGACACACAAGCCCTTCCTGATGCCACCTGCCCAAGTAGGGGCAGCGTCCCCAGCAGCCTATGCTGGCTCCAGGGTCTGCGCTCTCTTGACCTGTGTGGTTATTGCCTCCACCCTGTACCCAGTGAGCTCAGCCTGGACCTGACCCTGAGCTACCAGCCTGTATGTCAGTCCTTCCTGGTCTCCACGGCTCACCTCCAGGAGTGCCCCCCCGCCTCCTGGCCCCCAAACCCCCTGCAGAGGCCTGAATCTGAAGACAGAGCGGCGGCGGCCATGGTGGGTAGAGGGGAGGTGCTGTGAGTCCTCTGGGGTGAGCTGGACGCAGACAGGGGACGGACGCAGAGACACCAAGGAGCTGGGGGAGACATCAGGTATGTTACCTGTCCCAGATCGAGGGCGAGGACCTGGCCAGCCGGCCCTGCAGGACGTGGGGCTGCCCGAGGCATGAGGGCACCCAGGGGCTGCGCAGCCTGTGGGTGAAGAGGACAGAGCCGCTCAGGTGGGCAGGGCCCCCAGGCTCACCTGAGCCCATGGGGGAGAAGAGAGGTGGGAGCTGGGCCCCTCCAGCCCCAGGAAAGCGCCTGTTATCTGTAGGCGGGGCGGGGAGGAGTGGAGGAGGGGCCAAGGTCCTGGACTAGCTGCTCTCCATCCTTCTTCTGTCCAGGATGGCTGGGTGAGGCAGTGTCCTTGTCTCGGGGAGTGGGGGTGCGAAGTTCCCCCACCTGCCAGCTCTGGGTCAGTCAGGCACCTGCCCAGTTACAGAGCTGTCTATCACAGCTCCATGTGCAGGATGAATTGACCCAAGACCCCACAGGAAGAGGAGGGGGAACAGGGTCCCTCATGGGCGTGTGTGTGTGTGTGTGTGTGTTGTGGAGGCATTGGGGGGGCAGGGTCCTTGCAGGATGCAGATCTGATGAGCGTCAGGGGTCCTGGGGTGGGGCCGCATCACACTACCCCTGCCCTTTTCACTCAGTCCTGCCTGTGGCCTGAATGGATGGCATGGGCCCTTGAGTCGGTGGGACTAAGGTGCACAGCCAGGCCTTCCCACGGCCGAGAGCCCCGTGCAGAGAGGGGCAGGCTCGGCAGCTGGGGGCTGAGGCAGAACGGGTGGAGGAACGTGGTATGCCCTCACTCGAAAAGGTGGCTCCCCACCCTCACCCAAAACGCCCCATAGACGCCCAAGCCCCAGGCCTCACTGTGGAGTCGGTTCCGACTCACGGGCCCTGTGCGTGCACAAGGCGGGCTTCTCCGTACAGTTTTCTTGGTGGCAGCAGAACTCCAGGCCTTGCTTCATTGTGCTGCTGGGCCGGGCCTCTCCATTAGTGGGGGAGGGCAAACCAACTCTGCCTCCCACCCCCGGGGGGCCTTGCTGGCCATTCCCCATGGGACAAGCCTGAAGGACAGGGGCCACAGTGCTGCCAGGCCTGCGAGGGAAGAGCGCTTGGGGATTCTAAATTTTTTTTTCTGAGACTTTCCTGGATTTTTCATATCTTCTACGGCAAAGACAAGAGAAATCGCAAAAAAAAAAACGGTTAAAGCAACCCCCACACACAGACAACCCAAACCCACTGCTGATTTTGATTCTGAGTGGGTTTCGAAGAGGAGAGTTTTAACTCTTTATGGGAGTAGAAAGCCTCATCGATCACCAGCTGTGCGGCTGGTGGTTTAGAACTGCTGACCTTATGGTGAGCAGCTCAACACAGAACCCCTGCCCACTGGGGCTCCGAGTTAAGGTTTCAGAGACTAAATCTTTCCGGGAGCAGAGAGCCTCATCTTCCTCCCTCGGAGAGGCAGGCACATCTGAACTGCCAACCTTGAACTTAGTGGTCCAGCACGCACCCTGTGGCACTACTAGGATTCCTTGCAAAAACAGTTGCCGAGAGTCATGTTTAAGAGCTCTAGTGGTGTAGGGGATACGTTGGGCTGCTAACCACAGGTAGGCAGTTTGAAACCAGCGGCCGCTCTGAGGGAGAAAGGCACTTACAGTCTCAGAAACCCAACAGGGGCCGTTCTAGGCCTGTCCTATAGGGTTGCTGTAGTCGGAACAGACTCGATGGCAGTGAGTTTGCGTTTTGGAAAGGTCATGTTTGGTATGTGAAAGGTCACCCTCTGTACCCTGGGCTGAGGGCGAGCAACGGTCAGGAAGCTCTCACCCGGGCTGGGTGCTGGCATGACCACACACCTGTGAGCCCCTGTGTCCCATGTGTTTGAGGGGCCCTCCAGCCCAGTGCCCCAGCTGAGTGGTAGGAGTATCTGGAATGAGCTGGTTGGGGGGCTGGTTGGGAGGGAGTCAGGGGTTCTGTCTCTGGACTAGGATTGAGGGTCTGCCCTCACTGCTGACCTCCATTACAGGGTGCTTTGCTTGTGAGTCAGAAGGTCCCCTCCCTCCGCCTCCCCTGCTGAAGGGACACCTGACCTGCTCCTTTTTCCAGATCCTCCCCAAATGTGCCTGTGACCCGGTCACCTCCCAGCCCTCTGTCCTCACCGCTTCCTCACCTGGAAGGCCCTGGCTTCCTGTCCATCTCCAGAGTCTGTCCACCCTTGGAGGCTCTGCTGACCAACCGCCCCCTCCAGGAAGCCTGGATCCCCCCTTGCTGAAGGCTTCTTCTCTCAGGCCCCTGTCTGTCCTCTCAGGGTCTCCTCACCTGTCCCTCTGGGGGTCCAACACTGTTTGCGACTCTCCTGCCAACCTGCATTTCTCCCTTTCCCTGTACCCGCCCCCTCTCTGGACACGCCCTGTGCGCCTCCCCGGCTCCCACCACCTTCCTTTTAGGACCCAGCTTTGGCTTGGCCCTTGAGCTGAAAGGATGGGCCTGCCAACGGAAGTTCAGCTGGACGAGGATGGGCAGGGGGGGAGGGGAGGGGGGTCAACACCCTCCACTCCCAGGCAGCCGCATGCCCCACCAGGGTCAGCAGGGACCTGAGGGCCGAGGTGGCGGCCTGTGGGTACAGAGCTGGGCCTCCGGCTCTGGTGGTGCCAAATTGCTCTTTATTCTGCAGTGGTGTCTCATCTCAGGGACTTTGTCCCCATGTCCCCTCTGCCACGAATCACCCTCAGTCCCTCCCGGGTTAACCCCTCCCCACCCAGTAAGGGGGGTGGGGGGCCACACCCTCAGCCCACACTGTGGGGCTCTGTCCCTGCACCCTCACTAGCGTGCATCCCAGGGCCTAGGTGCTGTCCTGCGCATCCCAGCTGGGGCCTCCTTGGGCCCACCCTAGCCCCCTGCACCCCAACCCCGCCCTGGCCCTGTCTCTTCCAAGATTGCTTCTTGGGCAGAAAACAGGCCCTAGTCCTCCCCAAGCCCTGCCATGTAGGACCCCAACTAACTGCCCACCACACCTTGGGCCACATGTTCCCCATGGGCCGACCCCCTCTGGACACACTGGCTTCTACAAGGCAGGAGTTCCCTTCCCACCTGGAAGTTAGCAGTCCAAGGTCCGCCCTGCTCTCTCTCTCTCTCAGCCAGTCTCTGGCTCCTCCCCGAGGTCACTGGGCCTGAGAGGCTCCCGACCAGGCTGACAGTTGTCCCCCTCCCCTGGAGATGGCAGGTGATGACAACTCAGAGGATGGGGGACAGAGCACCGGCAGTCTGACAGGGGCAGAGACAGAGGGTCCAGGCCCAGAGCTGAGTCTCCAGGGCTTTGCTCTCTCTTGTCTCGAGAGAAACCCACCAAAGGCCTCTGACCACACAGCCACTGGCCGAGGCCAAGGGCCCCTGAGTCCAGCAGGACAGCCCACTCCTTGTTGCCTGGGGGTCCCTGTACTTGTCTCGCAGATTCTGGGCAACTGGCCCACTTGATTCTGTGGCTCAGGTAGCCCGCCCAGCTCCCTGGGCCACCCTCAAAGCCAGGTCGACACCTCCTGCTTGGAGATGGGGACTCTGGAGGCAGCCAGCACGGCCTCAGTGCTCCCAGGGGAAGGGTATGTGCCTGTGTGTGCATGTGCATGTGTGCGCATATCTAAGCATGCATGTTGGCATGTGCACACATGTACACAGACACATCTTTCTGTGCATGTATGTGTGCACATGAATGCATGTGTGCATACGTGTTCATATGAGTGCATATATACTTGCCTTCCATGTATACACATGTATGCACACGCATGTCCACTCGTGTGTATTTGTGCGCATGCAGACAAGTGGGGGAGACTGCTGAAGTGCTGACCTGTGTGCCCTAGGAAGGAGGCCTGGTTGAGGGGTGACGACCCCTGGGATAGGGTGCCCCCCACATCATGTCCACCCAGAACTGTCAAATGAGGCCTTGTTGCAAAAGGAATCTTTGGGGCTGTGGCTGAGCTAAGGTCCCCCTGGAGCTGAGTGGGCTCTGTCCAGTGGCTGGGTCCTCATTGTAGGAGAGGCCAGAGGTGCAGGGCAGAGGGCCATGCTCATGGAGGCAGAATTGGAAGTCAGGCAGCTGCCGGTCCAGGCACACACACACACACACACACACACACACACACACACACACACACACGAGGGTGGCTGGCAGACCGAGGGAGAGCCAGGGGACAGACCCCCTCCAGCCCTGGGGATGGACACCTGCCTCCAGCACCAGGAGAGAAGACGTGTCAGTCTACACCAGGGTCCTCAAACTACGGTCGTGGGCCACATGTGGCCCGCCGAGGATATTTATCTGGCCTGTTGGGTGTTTTTGCTCCCTTTGTTTTTTTTACTTCAAAATAAGATATGTGCAGTGTGCATAGGAATTTGTTCATAGTTTTTTTTAAACTGTAGTCTGGCCCTCCAACGGTCTGAGGGACAGTGAACTGGCCCATTGTTTAAACAGTTTGAGGACCCCTGGACTCTACACCATCTGGTGTGGGACTTGGTGACAACCACTACCAAGCGGGCACAGCAGCACCTCAAACCCACTCTGGGCCCCACCACCCACCCCTGGAGGAACCAGGAGCCCTGGTCTCAGGAGAGCAGGGCCAGCCCCAAGCTACGGGCAGCCCTTCCAGTACCGGCTTGCTGGGGAGAATTGGAAGAACCTAGGGGTACTGGTGCCCTGAAAGGTACCAAAGGAACCAATGAGACTCTGGGGGTGGGGCTACCCAAGACCATGGGCCACTCAAGACCATGAGCATCCCGCCATGCCCACTCTCTGCAGGGGACATCACCCTCCACCCCCACCCCCATTGCTCACTAGTCCTTTTAGACAAAGAGCTTAGGCAGGTGAAGTTAGGCCAAGCCCAAGCCTTTCCACCTCGGCGTGGAGTGGACAATTCTCGGGACACCTCTTCCAGACGGGCGTGCCTATGGAAAGGAGGTGAGTGTGGACTTGCTGGATCCCAGGGCTGAAAGAGGGGGCCACTGGGAGCAAGGAATTTGGGGTCTAAGCATCAACCTAGCATCGACACCTGCTGAAGGAATGAGTCTGAGTGTGTGTGTAGTGGGGGCAATGTGGCAGGGGGTGCCCCTGGATTGGTGGCCAGGGTGAATGCCCATGGTGCCTGCGAGTAGGCAAGGAGAAAACCCAGGCCATGTCCCCAGGCCAGGTTCCCAGGCTCACTAAGGATGTCCCTCTGGGCCATCACCAATGACCAACCTCAGTAACCCCACTTCCGACGCCCACTCTTGCCCTCCACCTCCTCGCATTTCAGCTCCTCCTTCCACTGCCCCTCCGGCTTCTCCCAGCCCCTCACCCCCTGTGCCCAGCAATCCCCGTTCCACTCCTTTGCAGAATCTCCCCTTTGCCCATCTCTCTTTTGTCCTGATGGAGCCAACTCTCCCCAGGCTCGGCCAACTCCCCGCTGCTGAGGCTGCCTGCACCCACTTAGAAGGCAGGACAACTCACAGCCTCCAGCCCCTGTGGATCTCAAGCAGCCCGGAACTTTCCTCTGTTTCCTAATCGGCTCCCTCCCTGTCCTGCCCGGAAAACAGCTTCGCGCCTCTCAGCTCACCCTCCCAGCACCTCCGCCCCATCCCCATGCACGCCGGCGGCGGATGACCTCGCTTCCTTTTCCACTCATCTGGGAACTCCCACAGATGCGTTGCCACACCTCCCCACCTCCCAGCATCTGCCCCGACATGTGGTGCGGTGGGTGCCGGTTCCCAGAGACAGTGGGGGCTCCCGGCCCCATCACCAATCCTCCCGCTCCTCTGGGCCATTCTCTCTGGAAGACCAACAGGGCGATTTCCCCCGTATTGAGAATCCCTCTTGACCTCAGTGCCTGTCCCGCGGAAGGGTGGCCTAAGCCCACTCCTACCTGATCCGCATCCACCATGTCCTGTCCTCTCGGTCCTCACCTGGCCTGAGTGTCTCAGCCGATTCCGAGTCCTGCCAACACGA